AGCGCTAGGGAGACCAAATCGAGGGAGGATTTCTTGTAGTAGTTTCTTAGTAACTACTAAGGCAGTTTCTTTCCTGGTGGGGAAGGCCTCTACCCATCCTGAAAAGGTGTCTATAAAAACAAGTAAATATTTGTAGCCCCCCACAGTCGAGGTTACCTCAGTGAAATCAACTTCCCAGTGGTCCCCCGGATAAGTTCCTCGTTCCCTATGCCAAGGTTTTTCTATCTTCCCCTTCTTTGGATTAACTTGGGCACAAGCTGGGCATCGTGAGGCAATCTCCTCTGTGGTTCTTCTCCCTTCTAACAAGTGAAAGTAGGGGTCTAAAGCTTAGAGCATCTTAGTTCACCCTAGGTGTGTGGTCTGGTGTAACTGGAAGAGAGTCCTTCCCAGGGCCGGTGAGAGCCCGATTTTTCCATCTGGGGTCGTCCATCATCCCTGTTGGTTCCTATATGTCCTCTTCCACCGTATAGGTCGGAGACGGAGGCAGTTCTGGGTAAGAGACAACAGTCAATAGATGTGGTGGGGGCCCCACTGGCCTTGTGGCCGCTGTTCTTGCCTCTGTATCAGCTCTTCAGTTTCCCTCAGCCTCAGGATTCTTCCCTTTTTGATGCCCTTTACAATGAACAATAGTCAGAGCCTTAGGCATCCATATGGCTTCGAGTAAGGCTAAGATCTCCTCCTTGTTCTTGATATCCTTCCCAGCTGAAGTCAGAAGCCTTCTTTCCTTGTAGATGGCTCCATGTACATGTGCAGTGGCAAAGGCATATCGGCTGTCTGTGTATATTGTGACTGCCTTGTCCTTTCCCCATTTTAGTGCCTCAGTGAGGGTGATGAGTTCGGCTTTTTGAGCAGAAGTCCCATGGGGAAGAGCCTGTGACCAGATAGTGTCAATTAGAGTAACAACCGAGGCCCCCGTGTACTGCCTACCTTCTTGCATGAAGCTGTTCCCGTCCGTAAACAGAACTTCATCGGCCTCAGGCAGAGGGGAGTCCTTGAGGTCTGGCCGTGAGGAACACACAGCATCAGTGAAATCTATGCAATTATGAATGGGAGTCTGGGGGTCTGGGTCTGGCAACAAGCTGGCTGGGTTAAGGACAGTGGCTCTGGAGAAGCTGATCCTTGGCTGGTCGAGGAGGAGAGCCTGGTATTGAGTGATTCTAGAATTAGTCATCCATCATTCTGGGCTACTGTGGAGAAAGGCTTCTACTGCATGAGTGGCAGTAATGTTCAGACTTTGCCCGAGGGTGAGTTTGTCAGCTTCTTTGACTAGGAGAGCCATTGCTGCTATGGCTCGTAGGCAGGGTGGCCATCCAGAGGCCACCGTGTCTAGTCTCTTTAATAGATAGGCCATTGGTCGACGCCATGGGCCTAGCGTTTGGGTTAGGACCCCTTTTGGTGATTCCCTTGGTCTCACTTACAAAAAGATGAAATCCCTTGGTGATGTCTGGAAGAGCAAGGGCTGGTGCTGATATGAGTGCCTGCTTGAGAAGGTCAAAGGCCTTCTGTTCTGTCTCTGTCCAATTGAGGGGCTGATTTCCTCCTGTTATTGAGTATAGGGGCTTTGCAATTTCTGCAAACCCAGGAATCCAAAGTCTGCAATAGCCCGCCGCCCCAAGGAATTCTCTTACCTGTCTCTTGGTGGTAGGTACCGGAATCTGAAGAATGGCTTCAATCCTCTGCCGGGATAGAGTCCGTTTTCCTCCTTCGAGTGTATACCTGAGGTAGGCCACCGACTGGGTGCATAGCTGTGCCTTCTTAGCCAAGACCCGGTACCCAAATGCCTCTAGGGTGCCGAAAAGGTCCCTGATTGCCGCGAGGCAGATTTCTTCGGTTTCAGCTGGTAATAATAAATCATCAACATTTGGAGTAATGTACAGTCAAGATTATGCTAATGGAAAGGTCGAAGATCTGCACTTAGGGCCTCATCAAATAGGGTAGGAGAATTTTTGAATCCTTGTATACGCGTCCAGGTTAGTTGGCCCGAGAATCCCCACTTTGGGTCTGTCCACTTAAAGGCAAAAATAGGCTGGCTGCTAGGGGCTAAGGGAATGCTGAAGAAAGCATTGTGGGGAGTCACTTATGGACACATGTGAAATCATATAACAAGGAACAAGGATATTTGTGTACTTGGCAACAATGTAAGAAGTTGAGATTGTAAAGCGCTGGGAAAAACCGGGAGGTAACTATTCACATACCAATCACTGCAAATTCCTTGCTACAGTTTAGCAGAGAGTTCTGAGGTGTTGGAGACAACTTGTTTTTCTCT